GGGAAAGATTTGTGGAACAAAGACCTAAGCTTAAATATTGGATTAATTTCATATTTGAAACGATAGATGAATGTTTCTTTTATCCTTCGAGGTTAATTGAATATTCTCTATGCATTGTTCAATCATGAATGGAATGTTTCTCTTCTAAAATCAATAGATAAATATTAGTTTATCATTAGGGATGGTATAATGTCAATCTATGAAGATTTGATTAAAGAAACCCAAAAATATAAATTTAAAGAGAATCTTGTGTGACATTTGTATTTTGGATGTTAAAGTTGTCCAAAGAGAGGTGGACACCGAATTGACCTCTGTTGCCATTCATTTTGTGTTTGCTGGTGCATCCGTCATTGGTTACCCATAATGGAAGGCACCACTCCAAAAATGTGTACTGAATTAGCAAGCATGGGTTCATTGGCGTCACATCCTATTGGGGTCTTCCCTTGTTGTCGTTCCTACTCGACGAGCATGAATTTCTTTAGCTTTCCCCCTTAATGAGTTTCTTAACTAGGCCCTAGAGGTGACACCACTCCTCCATGTCATGGTTGTGATCCTTATGGAAGGCGCAATACCTCGAGGTATCATGAGTGTCGATGGCTTTTATAGGCAGTGAGCGCATGAAAAACTACTAATTTTGAATAGCCTCTACAAGCTCATCCATTGACACTCTCAGCAAAATGTAGGTAGGATAGGTTTAAGGTAGGTGGGCAACCTCATGGTAAGGATCATGAGGGAGCTCCACTATCCATGGTACTAGTTGGATAGGCAAACCTATGATGTTCAAGGCATCGGCAATCACGTGGCGTGTTTGGTCTCTTGTCCCTCCTCTCCCTGGGACATTCTTTCTCGCTCTTTTCCATGTGATTTTTTGGGTCGGAATTGCCTCGATATGACTCCAAATGAGGCACCTTAAATTGGGAGGTAGCTTGGCCTCAATAATTACTCTGGAGAAGGTGTTGGTTAGTTTTGGCTCCCTTCTATCTCGCCTAGACAGCAAATTGTAGTCTTCATCACTCGTCTAGGTGCGAGTGTAATCAGGATGGGGTGTAGAGGCGAGTGCTCTTTTTAAACGCTCATGGCTAGCAGCTGAGCCGGAGGATCTCTCTGGCATATTATTTGACCCGTGCTTGCCATAAAAGGCCATTTGGAGCATTCAAAATTGTCTTCATGAGTCATTCTTCCATCTCTTACAAATCACGAAGAGTAGTTAATTCAGTGTTCTCCAAACTTATAGAGGGTTCCTGCGAAGTTCGCTTGTCAAGTCAAAGCTATTTCCTTGGCATCAATCCACGCTCACCACACCTAAGAGAACATCGAATTCAAATTTTTTCGATAGATGATACCCAGCTGTACTAGCAAACCAATCTAGTAAGCTTAAGAAATATTAATGAGAATGAAGAGTAGAGGAGAATGGGCTAGAAAAATCTTCACAATCTCAATCAAAAATACAAGAGTAAGCTCAAGGTCAAAAGAACCAAAAAATGTTCTTAAAAAAGGTCCCTTCAACTATTCCTCATCACCCTTTAACTATAGGGTTTTGAGAGATACATGAAATATCACACGGAGAAGAACTAGAATATAGTTACACAACGAATACCCACACAATGTACACGCTAATTTAGAATAGGCAGTGCCTCTTGATTAGCTTCAAAGGTGTTAATTCAACAGTCTGGCAAGCTGCCTGTCGTCGAACAAGCTCAAGATAGGGTGCTAGTTAGTGTAAGGCGAGTCTTGAGAATAGACAAGCCCATATTTGTTGAGCAAAGTAGAAGACTTGAGGAAGGTGAGTCAAGATGTCGCAAGGATGATGAGTTTTTTAATATGGAAAAAGTTGTAGCCTAAATGAGTAAGCGTTATTTGAGATTGGCGCTTTTTCATAGTTAAGCTTGGTGAGCATAGGGAGTAGGAGTTTGACTGAGATGAGTGATGCTTTGTTTGCTTAGCAAGGAAACTTAGGGTTGCCTGGTATGGGGCAAGCTATTGGGCGCAAGCTGGAGAGTGACACGCTCTCCTTTGGCGAGTTCATGGGATAGTTGCACACAAGTCCTTTAAGGCATATGCACTTGAGAGGGATGTCCTCATCATGACCAAAGCAATACCTTGAAGACAGCTGAGAAGGCAGTTAGGTAAGTACGCTTATTGGCCGCCTATATGGTTTCTCAAGTGAGCACAGAGAAAAAGGAGTACTTGCCCAACATGTCACTTCAGATGAAGGTGAATGAATAGCTATGGTAGACTTTATCATCATGGACACCACAGCTACGTACAACACCATCTTTGCAAGGCCTCTTCTAAACACATTCAGAGTGGTCGTCTCGACCCATCACGTGGTAGTTAAACTCCATGCATGTGACCGAGAGATCACCATGAGATGCGACCTCACACAATCCAGTACAGGTTACTTAAAGGTAGTAGGGAAGTTCGCGACATCCTAAAGAAAGTGTTGTAGCTGGATTTTTAGTGAGGACCAGAACTAGAGACTACAAGTTATTGGAGGAAGTCCTAGCTATGGAAGGCGAGTTCGAGAGAATGTAAAGGATAAGCACCTCTTCAACTCAAAGCACCAAGGTAAGCTTGTTTCAAGCCCCCAGGGATAACCTTGATGTCTTTGCGTTGACAATAACTGAGATGCATGATGTTAATGAAAAAGTTGCTTACCGCAAAAGCAATGTAAGAAGGATGCCCAATCCATTAAAAAAAAATCAGAAAAATAATAGCCATGCCTATCAAGCCAATCAAACAACAGGTGATGCTACTCAATGCAGATGCAGTCAAAGGGACAATATCCTGACTGGATCTCAAATTTAGTGATGGTTCAGAGGGCAAACAACAAATAGAGGGTATGCGTTGACTTTACAAATCTCAACTCAACGTGCCCAAAGAATGATTGTCCACTCCCCAAGATCGACTCACTGGTCAACTCAACAATCAGATTCTGTATGATGAGCTTCTTGGATGCATTTTGTGGCTATCATCAAATAAAAATGTGCTTCGGCTAGTGCAAGAAAACATCCTTCATTATAGGAGAAGGCATAAGGTGATTTTGTTTTGAATGAAAATTGTGGGGGTGACTTAAAGAATGATGGATCGCATCTTCAAGGAGCAAAAGGGACTAAATGTGGAGTTGTATGTGAACGACCTACTGGTCAAAAATAATTCGTGCGAGCAACTCATCCAAAATTTGATGGATAAATTTTGCCACCCTATAAAAATATAATATGCAAATCAAAGTTCAAGAGAAAACAAATACTTATTACTATACTTGGGAGTGAGAGAGGATGCAATCAGCTCCATACTCATTCGAGAAGAAATAAAGAACAATGGCCAACAAGCGGTGCAAAACAAAGATATCCAATCATTGAAAAGCTCAACTCAAAGACTGAGACCTTAATTTCAAGTCTATTCAATCTAGATTATCACTAAACACCCCCTCAAAGTCCTATACACCAAGCCAAACCATTCCGACAAATTGTTAAAACGTTCAATAAAATTCCGAGTTCCAAGTAACCTATACATTGAGGATGGACAGCAGAACCTAAGCACAAGTAAGCTTTCTAGTCACAAGCTTACTAGCAAAAATTGATGAGCAAGAAGGCTCAATGATGCAACAACCCTAGACCTTGTACATTGATGGAGCCTCAGACGAGCAAGATCTAAGGACGGGAATGATTATGAAGAGCCCAACTGGAACAATAATCACTCAGGCAGCAAAAATTGAATTCTTATTGACTAATAACTAGGCAAAGTATGAAGCCTTACTCATCGGACTATGACTCGTTGCAGGAATAAGAGCAAAACAGCTAGTAGTTTATTCAAATTCTCAATTGATGGTAAATCAAATAAATGACAAATATGAATTACAAGATGAAACGTTGTTGAAATATCTTCAAAGTGATAGCTGAGATCAACAAACTCATATTCTTCAAAATAACTCAGATATCCCAAGAGCAGAATCAACTTGTCAACCTGCTCTCAAAATAAGGCAATCCAAATGGCGACATATCTTAAAAATAATAAAGTCGACCTTTGAAAAAGAGAAAGTCATACAAGTAGAGAGCAATTACCTAGCAACTTGGATAGATCCATTTTTAGAATAATCGAAGACAGGAAAAATAGGAGTCAAATTTAAAATCTATGGCAATTTAAAGTAAAGATGTACGATACTTGATAATTGGAGTTATTCAAAATGTTGATGACTTCTCTTAATTTGCGATGAATTAAAGAACATGAGAAGAAGATGGCGCTCAGGGAAGTCCACTCTAGCGAGCACAGTAGCCATACGAGAGGAAAAATGCTTGCCCATAGAATTTTGAGGCAAAGATAACTCTGACAACCTTTAAGAAAATATGCAGAGGAATTATCAAGAAATGCAATTTGAGCTAGTAAATTTTTTTCCACAGACTTTCACCGTTCCCTTTTCTACTATTCTCACAAAGGTTCTCGATTCATATTATTCTGAGCTTACGTACTAGTAATATCGAGAGTCAACTATAGATAAACATGAATCCAACAAGTTCCATTATTACAGCACTTGTCACTAGAAACAAAATTCTATTAACATTATATGTAATTGATCAACTTAGTATAATAATCTCAGCAAAATCATTTAGGAAAAAATGTCATGTGATATGTTACACTTGACTCTATAATCCAACCATTACTCTGGCTTTCATGAGCATCTAAGTTAGATTGTTTTCGTAAACCAATTTTAATCCATTTGATGCCATCACATCAATGATAACATTTCCAAAGTTTGTGAGCAAAACAATTTATCTGATAACTTCTTGCAACGTTTTATAGAACAAGTTTCTATCTATGAGCAAAAAAATAAGCACTTAATAAACACAACTACGACAATTTAGGAATTATAAGCATCGCTTAATGCAAATAAACATGATAAACTACCATTTTGTTAAGTAAATCGGGCATGTGAAGGAGCCTATTAATGAAGAGGTCTGTAAAACTTTTGTGATGGAATAATTGAGCACGTAATAAACCTGTTAAGGAAAAAGTTTGCTAAACTATGAAAATTAAATGTGAAAAAATAATCTAACTTTATACACAACTTATTGCTTTTGATGAGCATGAAAAAGCTGCTCAAAGCACAAGTATATAAGAAAAGAATAGATTCTGCAATGGATGGAAAAGAGCTTCCAGGAAAGCAAAGCCGCACTAGGATTACAGCGTGGCAAAAGACTAAACAAGCTTCCCTCAAAATCCATCTATGTCACCAAGGATTCCAAGTACTCATCAACATAAGCAAGGCATGGCCAATGATCAGTCCTGATCCTAACTAATGTTGAAAATTTACCTACCTCCATTTGGAAAAGTAGATGAAACCTAGGTGGCAGGAATATTAAAACAAGTAACGTACCAAGATTTCTTTTACAAGTCTCAGGAGGATACCATAATGCAATTTCATCTTGTGTATATTCAAGTTGAAGGGGCTCACTTTCTAAGTATTGTACCAAAGCTTTACTCTCCTTTACAGGAAAAACAGCAGAATCATCTTCCCATATAACATTTCTGATAACCCCATTACTCCCTACAATATTCACTAGTGGCTGACCAGCAACACTGACAACAAATGGTGCCAAATATTGTTCTGTTGCACTTATGAGAGAATTTGGAGAAACATCAAGAAGCTTCACTGATCTTGTTCCATAGATTGCCACACCCCCTTTACCTCCATGCAATGTAAAAGTTTCCCGCTCAGTGTTGGCAGAACTTCCACAAGCTTCCCATAAAGCATGAAAAAGGTCAAGGTAGTACTGTGGAACCTGGTCATCAGCAACATCAGAAGGTAAAACAGCCTTTAAAAACATGTCCTCAATTCCTACTGTAATACTTTGAAGCAAGCCAGATATCATTTGACCATTCTCAATATTTGCCGTTAGTGCAGCATCAATAAGTCCAGGCATGGGTTCTCTTGGTTCTAGTTCAACCATAATTGATGCTCGAAAGCATGAATTTTCCTGGACTTCACACTCGTTGGGAATAACATCAAGCCCTGTTTTTGAAGGTTCGCCAAGAAGAAAGGGTACATGACAAGCTGGAATAGAGCCATATTTTGCAGTAGACTTAAAAGTAATAACAATTGCATATAGAGCTGGTAGGTTGTCCACCAAATTTGAGCTCATTGTGGGTGAATCAAATCCCGAAACCTGATTAAGCAACCCTGCCTCAAACCTCAATAAACAGGGTATACCAATCTTAGTCCCAGGCATGTAGCGATAATCTGGAATGCAAGCAAAATGCCTCCGCAAGACTCTTAGGGTTTCAGCAACCTTCGAATCTATTACTCTAAGAGCCTCTTCTTGTAAACTGATCCTATCTATAGATACATCAACCTCACAATCAGGTGCAGTGGAGGGAGTTAAAACGTCATTGATCTCCTTAGAGTAACTAGTCTCACTTTTCCCGGTTTCTATGCTAGGAAGAGTTAATGACCATGACTGCTTAACAAGAGGCGAAATTGCCCTTTCTAGATGGATAAACGCAGAAATACTAGACTGTTTGTTAGCATCCTGTGGATGTCGTGGCAAAGGAATTTGGAAAAGTGAGGCTGGATGAGTGGACGGTGACACCCCGGGAAGCTTCCCTCCAAAATTTATTATTGTCTTGAGCTTTTTTCCCGGGATGCATAAAAGCATCCTCAGGCAGATCCTAAAAAAATTGAAACGAATGATAAGAATAACATTTAATTACAACTAATCGTCCACCAGTAATTGGGTTACCTTGCACTGTCCCGAACTTCCAGATCGGGAAAGGATTGACTGGCGGAGGAAAGGAGATGAGACAAACTAAGAAAAACACGTGAGCTGCGATGATGCACTAACATTGCCCTACAAATGCCCAAAACTTTACTTCCCTGGGACCATGATCTTAAGCCACTCTCTGAGCCATGATTCACAGTGAGATAAAGCATATACTTTGTGAGCAGCTGCAATAAACCACCAGGCGGTATTGTATCATTCCTTGCAATCCTTTCAAATATTGGAAAGTATGAACCCAGCAGAAAACCATTGTAAAGCTTTGGAAGCAATTTTTCATCCAGCGTCTGAAGTAGACGCTCTCCAACTAGTTGATGACCATTGCACCCCATTAGACGATCAACAAAAAAGGCGATCACTGGAACCAAGCCACGGTGCGTTGATGCCAGCTCCACCAGCATATCCTACATATAATAGAAATTTAGCAGAGCCAAGCCTAGAGTCTAAGCATATGGCCTTGCTAAAAGAATGGAAGCCGATATGGGTCATATGCGTCAAATACCTGCAGGTTTTGGAAGATGGAAGAATCAAAAACTGCGTGTAACTCATCATCAGGCAGGCCACTAACATAGTGTGGGGAAACTCCAATTAGAAACTTATGGAAAGACCGGAAGGCCACGGAGGTTTCTGTACTCCATGGAGGCAGCCATTTGAATGCTGAAACACAAACTAATCCGTCATAAAATAGCTTGACGACTGTAGCACTCCCCGCTTTCTTCCTCTCATGGTTTGCTGTATCCTTCTCACTTTGAAAATGACCAGTATGGGCAGCAACAACAGCGAGGGCATCTAGTTTTGCAGCTTTCAGAGCAAGAGGATCAAAAACTAATGGATAGAGACACTGAGCCAAGGAGGAAAGAAAGCCCTTCTCATGAGCAAGTTGGGATGATCCCAAAAGCCAATGAATGGCGAGTAGCCTGAAGACAAGCGATTGTTGGGTTTCATTGGGGGTATGAGCGAGGCGACGAAAAATGCCCAACTCGTCATCCCCTGAAAACGCATCTGAGAATCGTGAATACAGCATGAGAACAATATGGCAAAGGATGGGGTCATAGCAGTAAAGCAGGCAAGAGAACTGCACCTTCAGAAGTGCAGCCACTGCAGGCATGTGGCGCTCAAGTGCACCCACGATGCTGACCAGGACTGAGACCAGTTCCATGGTTGCGCATGGGTTCAGAGCCTGCGGCCTCTCAAGGAGGAAGGCGACTATCCGCCGGAGCTCGCGAAGGTTGACATCAGTGGGTTCAGAGAAAACGCTGGGAGATATAACAGCGCTGGGTGAGTTGAAGGGGACAAGAATAACGGAAGTGGAAAGAATGGAGGAGGGCGATGAAAGGAGCCCATGACGGGCAATGGAAGCAACGGCCGTAGCTAGTAGGAGTGCGTATGACTGTGCAGCATGGGTTCTCTCGGTCTGCGCAAGGAACCAGAGATGGCCAACGGCATCTGAGAGGAGAAGTGGGTAGGCGAGCTCGAGCTCGCGAAGGCACTCGCAAGCAACAGAGCGCATGTAGCGGTCCGGGCCGTGGTTTGGGCGGTTCGCAACGGAGAGAAGGAGCTCAATGAGAGGGTCGATAAGATGAGGGGAGGGGGAGTCGAGTGTAGCGATTGCTATCGAGGTAGTCGATATCATAGCTTGTTCTTTAAGAGAGAATTCGCCAGGGTATTGGATGAGGAGGGAGCGGAGAGAATCTAGGAGAAGGTGGAAAGAGGAAGAAGGAGAGGGGCGGAAGAGGAGGTCAAATGAATCTTCGAGGAAGAGTAGGAGTTGGGGTTTGAGGGATATTGGAATGTCCTTGCGGAACAGGGAGCTGAGGGTGAAATCGAGGAGAGGGAAGGGAAGCCATCGGATGCGGCGAGAGGGAATGCCAGACTGGAAGTCATCGATTAGGGTTTCCCAGTCCTGAGGCGAGAGCTGTTGTGCCGGTGCTGGGCCCTGGGGGTAAGAGTTTTTGTCGGATGTCTGCTTCTCCATCGGGATTCTCTTCGCGCAAATGAGCAGAACCCTAGCTAAAGCAAAAATTTGCAAATGGGAGAGAGTCGGTGTTATCCGCCATCTTCCATCTTCAGACCCGGCAGAACGAAGAGGAATTCTCAGCCGCCGTTGTCCAACTGCGGGGATTGTTTGGCTGCAGGTTATCTAACCACAGCAGGATTTAATAAATCAGTAGAATTCGGTGTGGAGTATATGGGCGTCAATTAGATTTTGCGAGGTTTTAAAAATAGGATCCAATCGGTTGGGTTCAATCCCTGAACTGTCAAGTTGTCTGAAGACTAGTCCAGTTCAAAAATTGTTTGGAGAGAACCGTATTGAACCGGTGGTTCAACCGGTGAACCGGAGAACTGGTTCAGGTTTGAAAAAATAGGCTAGTTTAAAAAAAAATAAAAAAATTTAAACTATATATTTTACATTATTATATTTTTTTAAATATTTTTTTATTAAAAATGTATACTATAAGAATCTCATTTATTATAATTATAATTAAATGTAAAAATTAATTATAATAAATTATTAGATACTCATAAATATAATATAATTAAACTATATGTTTTATAAATTATAATTATATTATAATATATTCATCATTTCAATTTAATTTAATTATATTGAAGGATAATCTATTAAAATTAAATAGTTTAAATTCTTAGATTTATATAGTTTGAGGTTAGATTCCCGTAATTATTTTATTAATGTTATTATTTTTTAATAATATTAATATTTATTACATCATCCAGTTAGACACCGGTTTAACCGGTCAAACCTTGAACCTCTCATTATTCCGGTTCGTTGTCAAGCCCGATTTTCACAAGCTTAAGATTTTGACAAGTATTTTTTTATTTTATTTTTTATGCAGTTTTGTTAATATTTTTATTAACATGTGATCATATAACCCTACCTAGTTAATGCAATTAATAATTTTTTTCTTGCCAATCTAGTAATGTAACCTGGTCCATAGGTTATAGATTTGAAAAAATGAAGCTGATGCATCCTTTCAATTTTCAAATAGCATGAAAGACCAAAACTTTTAGGGTTTCAGATCTAGAGCTCTTGTCTCATTCATGGTGCTCTGTATCTTTAAGAAGTAATGGTCTGTCATCACTTTCTTTATCATATTTAGTTGTTTAGGGTTGAATATGAATGACAATTTAAGTTAATGATTTTTATGGATATTATGTAAATTTAATTATATGTATCTCTTCATTATTTACATATCAACACTTTAAAGACATGAACAACCAAGTTACATTTGTTGTTTTGGGTTTCTCTGTAACTAGGTACAAAATCCCTGCTAAATGATATTCCAACACTAACATACTGGGCTATTACACTTCTCTTCATAAGTTGTTCTGAAGCTACTAATGCTCCTTCCTTTTGGAAGTTTCTTTTTAATCGGCCTGGATAGAGTATGTAATATACATAATGTAGAATGTGTGAATGTACAATGTGGGAAATCAGAGATAGTCATGCTCACATGTGTATAAATTATATAATGCATGAACTTGTATATTGTAGAACTTGAACAGATTATATGTACAACATGTACACTGTGTGTGTACAAGGGGGATGTGAAGAAGAATCTTCTAGAAGGCAAAAAACATCATAGTTTTTGTTAAGTTATAGAGAGAGGTGTCAAGCTTAATTATGTTTCAATATCAATTGGCTGGGAGGAAACAAAAAAATATATATGGGGTTGAAGAAAGCCAACAATAGTTCCAAGATTGGAGCCAAGTTTGGGACATAGGTACACTTCATAATCGACATAAACCTTATACACACTAATAACAAGATTGTAGACATTATGTACTCCTTGTACATAATGTGTGTATAAGGGGAATTCACCATGTATACAGTGTGTGTACAAAGTGAATTACTGGCCTTTTGTAATACCTCTTATACACACACTATGCACAAGCTTGTATGCACACTATGTGCATAATGTGTGTATAAGGTGAATTCACCATGTAAACATTGTGTGTATAAGTGAAATTTTTAGCTCTTTGTGATTCACTATGTACATAATGTGCACAACCTTATAACATTGTGCATAAGCTTGTACACACGCTATGTACACCAAGTACATATTATGTGTTCAAGGGAAATTTCAGCTACTTTGTAATTCTCCTTTGTTCACATGCTGTGCACAAGCTTTTACACATAATGTGTATAAACTTATATATAAACTGTCTACACCATGTACATAATGTGTGTAAAAGAGGAATTTTTTGTCCTTTGTAATTCCCCTCGTATATACACCATGCATAATCATGTACACACATTGTGAATTAGCATTTACACATAATGTGCACAAGCTATTTATAATTCATATTAATTTAATTAAGGGTGTCAATTTTGAGTCATAGATCGGCTTCAAGTCAAACTCGGAACTGACCAAGTACTATTCAGATCAACCTGAATATGACCCATTTTTACAAACAGGTCAATTTTTGGGATCGAAACCTGACCCACATCGAGTTCAGGTCAACCAGACTCGACACGTTGAGCCGAATGCAATTTGTAACTTTATGATTTGTTGTTCGCAATAGTGCGGTGGAAGTACTTTGCTGGACTGTGCTTTGCCATTTGTGGTCTACCGGAGCCTGGATGGTGAGGCCAGGCAGTGCCGGTGACAGTAATGACGGGTCGGCAGCAAATGCGAGCATAGAATGCAATTTGAGGTCTGTCAAAGGGGTCAGTTTCTTTTTGGACTGTGGTAGTGGATGTGAGCATGGATGGTCTGATGCGAATCGTGATGGCATGACTGGCGACATGATGTGGATGACCAGTCATTACCTAATAAGATGGCCTAGCGACAAGATGTAGACACAACTCACGAGTGTAGACGGCTTGATGACTGATGCAATGGCATGACTTATCTTTTCAAAATGGGTTGATTTTTTATTTTCGGGTCAACCTGAACTTGGCCAAATTTTTTAAATTGGTCAAAAACTCAAACTTGAACCTAACCTGACTCGGGTTCAGATTGGCCCGAACCCAAAATTTTCATGCCGGGTTCGGGTCAAGTTTTTGTATCATGTCAAATATTGATGCCCCTATTTTAATACATATATTTACCATTTTCTTATTGCAAATATACATACCAAAGATTAATTTCTTTTGTAGCGTCTCAACATTTAGAGCTCTTTGTGACTACATGGTCAGGATATTACATGATGAAGTCGAGAGCGCTTTAAAGAATTTTGACATATTTCAATTTATTTAGTTCCAATAATTTAGTAGTGTTAAGAGAGTTGTTATTTGCATATGTTACATTCTTGCAACTTGTATAGTTTTGATGATTTCAAATATTATTATTTTATGTGCAATGATTTCCTAACTCTTTTTGGAAGAATTGTTTTTGCTCTTGTGCGTACTAATATTTCAGGGAAATTGAACTCCAAACTATGAAGACTTCAAATCAATTTCAGCATACAATTCTTTGCAAATTGAAGCTTTAAATTGTTCCTTGAATTGAGAGGGTGTGATTGTAATTGAATGAATAAAAATACACACACATATTTAAGGAGAATTTACAAAATTTGTACTGATCGTCCGGGACGAATATAGTTCGTATGGGATGATCAGGTCAGTTTTCTCCCCGTAAGAGCAATGGAACGAACAGGAGTTGAAGGAAATTTTTCTAAGTTCTAATCATCCCGGACAAAATTATTTTTGTCTCAGGACGAGTTAGGCTCTATAAAAATTTCGTTCAGACGAAATCTATAATCGTGCTAGGACGATTTCTTCTATGTAAAAATTTCGTCCAGACGAAATACAAATCGTCCCAGGATGAATTCTTCTCTGAAAAAATTTCGTTCAGACGAAGTTCATTATCGTGCCAGGACGATTTCTTCTCTATAAAAATTTCGTCCAGATGAAGTCCTGTTCGTCCTAGGACGATGTGAACCAACTTACCAAAATTGGTTACATCCATGCAGTTATTTGGGAACCGACCTATGGTATAACTGATCGTACCGGACGAACCTAATTCATACGGGACGATGATCGTGTATGAACATAGTTCGTATCAATATACATAAGGATCGTTTTTGACACTTTAAGTAAAATTGTCCAGGACGATCCACGATCGTACGGGACGATTCATTTTGTGTTGACTTGAAAAATTTGTAGTTTTAGATGGTTTTTCTTGTCTCTCATATATACAGTCCAATTTAGACTGCCCCCCAATCTTTTTGCCATTTGATCTTCATGCCTATTGAAAGAAGAGTCAAGGAGAGAGTATGAGAGAGAGTTCAAAGGAGGATTCCTGCCACTAAAGCGTGAAGGCTTCGCTTGGTGTTCAAAGGTAAGAATCTCTACTTGTGATTTGTGATTACTTCACTCTTTTCTTCTTTCCTTCTAGAATTCTTGTGAGAAGATCTGTCAAGGAGATCCGATTTTCTGCCGACACTTGGAGAGTGTAAACAGCTGCGGGTTCTCTGCCAACACTAGGAGAGTGTGAAAGGACGGAAGGTTCTCTGCCAACATTGGGGATAGTGTAAAAGGACGACGGTTCTCTGCCAACACTTGGAATAGTATAAAAGGACGATGGTTCTCTACCGCACCGGGTAGTGGTGGAAAGAGTGTTTGTAAAGGCTTCTCCGCCTTGCTGTGGGTGCAAAAGAAGAAACAATATTGAAAGTGCTCAGATGGCACTTGAAAGTGCTCTGATACCACTTGAAAGTTTGTCAGGGATGTTAAACCCTATAGAACTGGACCAAGGCTAAAAATGAGATAGAGAGGTGAATCAGTATTTAAAACTGTTGCAAACCTATTTTCATGACCTGTATTTTGATGATTGACAAATACTATTGATTCTCTTGGACTACTTGTTTCTTCTAACTTTTCAAGAATCGAAGATCGGACGAACAGACGAAGCCAGTTCAGGATTGCGTAGGTTTAGGGTTGAGTCAGTCTGTACTTTTGTTTTTCACTTCTTGAGTCTACTTGTAATGGTCAAAGAGACTGATGCTAAGTAACCCTACACACACACACACTTGAGAGACTTAGAATTTCTATTTTTTCTCATATCGGCCAGGATGATTTTTTACATCGGCTAATAATTAATATAATTATAAACTGATTAAAAAAGGAGCCGGGGCGGAGAGTATAAGATGCCTACATAGCTTAATTTGAATCTGTTAGTTGAGAACTTAGGCTTCCCGCAACTAAAATGTCTTGGTTC